TCTATTTATTGAATTAACACCTTACAACTTCATTTTATAAGCAAATTACTGCTGATTTACATGGAATTATAAGATTGTATTCATTTCATCAGCCCATTTGGTGATCTCCAGTGATATTTTTAGGGAATTCTATCAAAATTCGTTCAAGTAATTGTGGCTGACCAAAAATTTATATTGGTCAAGTAATTGTTACTCATCACTGATGTGATCGGCATATTGTTCGAATGCATAATGAAATTTTAGCTGCTCCAATTCACAGATGCGCTTAATACGACAATCTCAACTGCTCCAAAGCAACAGTTAACGACAACGATTCCATCAGCAAGTCATGCTCAACATGTTCAACACAGTCAACATCCAAACAAGGTATTACTTCTATCGGTGTTCAGTGACTGACCTCAGATTATATTCTCGCAATTTTGATTGATCATTGCCCTATTCCCAATTCGCTGATAAGCAACTGATAGATTTCTATAATCATGATTGCTAAATTTGATGCATTCTCCCATGTCAATTCTATGCGTTGAAATTTTTCACACAAAAATAAACTTGTGAGCAAATTGAATATTGAACGAAGAATTTGGTCTTTAGAATAGATCATCTTCACTTGCACCAAACGACATTCTGTCATGGAAAGAGCATCTGCTAGCCAGGTATCGTGGTTGTTCGTCATTGCTGCTCAATAATACAGGGCGTATCTCCGAAGCGGAACGAAACGAACTGGAAGCATATCTCAAAGATGAAAATCTTGCCGAATACAAGTAAGATTTTGAAGGAGTCAATTCGTTACATCATTTTACGAGAAAATTTGATGTGTGCTTAATAAAGGAACAAATACTCATATATCGTTGAAAGAAATTCATTTTTTGCATTCTAAACGAATAGATCACATCGAAAAACATTTCTTTAGCAAACGAAAACAGATTATACTCATTCACTTGTGTGATCTGGACAAAAATTCGATACATCTTCTACAATTCTTAATTCAATCCGCTATCCACACCGCTTTCATTGATCTGTTACATTT